TTTGTGTGGTGTGCTTCGTTGTTTTTTAGTCTTATTCTCTTTTTACGAGCTTTTATTTTCTGTATGAGGAAATAATATAGTATTATAGTCGTGTGGGTGTGTTCGCTTTAGAGTAGTTGGTTTTAGGCTATCGTCGTGTAGTTTTCTTACTGGATTAAGTTGTATAGTTGCTTGAGTCAGCTGTTACTAACTGTTTTTCGAATTGTAAATATGTGTTTATCTATAAATTCTATCATTTCCGAAGGAAAAAAAAATTGATTAATATAAATAATAGAAATGTAAAAATTATTGCAATTATTGGTCTCCCCTTGGAATTAAGTAGCCTATGTGTAAATATGTCGTTAATGACCCTAGCTATTTGAAGGATCGAGCAATACCGTCCTAACAGTTAAAGTTGTTGAATCAATCAATGAGTACATGATTTCCTTAAATACGGCATATGGACAGACGTTTTTTGGTTCAAACACCGCATTTAAATCGGGTGGTGTTATTTTTTGTTCACGAACAACAGACTTCTGAAATTTTAAATAGCAATAAAAGTTATGGTGTTCCAAATCACGAACTACATTTGAAAGTCGACACTACAGTAATGTTGATGTGAAACGTTGATCATTCAAGTAGCTTGTGCAATGGTACGCGTTTGGTTATTACGAGGTTGTGTAATTATGTTTTGTACTGCAAAGTTTTAACGAGTTCGAACTGTGAAGAATTGGTTCTTATGCTCATAATGATCAGTTTGACTACATCGTATATAAGAGTACCTTTCAAAGACAACAATTTTCCATGATGGTTTCTTATGTGATGACGATTAACAAGATCAGTGACAATCTCTTTCTCATGTTGGTTTATTCTTAAAGAACCTCGTATTTATGCATAGTCAACATTATTGGCTTCCCAAGTTGAGGAATATGCTGAAATAATCTGAATATAATTAAATATGCATTCGCAAATAAAAGCTGTACAGGTGACGTACCTCGGAGTCAGCATGGCGTGAGCGTGGTGTGGTCATATCTTACTAAGATTATAGTATACAGAACCACTAAGTGGCTCTGATACCAACTGTAACACCCCGCCTAGACTTACTAAAATCAGAGTAAATTTTTCGCGCTCTAAATGGAAAGCACTGATTTAATTTTTGAAAACTCATATTAATTTTTCGAAAATACTTTAACTTTAAAATGCGGGATGCTACTCAACTTTAATCTTATATCTTTATCTCTTTAATCTAACATGCATGCGACCAAGTAAAATCCATTCTAGAATTAAGGCCATGAATAATACCGGATTAATCATGCATATTTATGAGTCACAAATAGAAAATGGTTGAAAATTTGTGATTATGAAAACAGCTCGCAGACGAAAAATATTGTATATAAGAAAGTATTCAATATTTGTAATCATCCATCTGATTGAATTACAATTTATCTTTTAATGATTTTTTTTCATAACTCTCGTGCAAATGCACGGGTAACCGTACTAGTGGTACTTTGCTTACCAAATTTTCCCTCATATATATATATATATATTTTTTTTTTTATGATTAAGATTTTAATATAGGTGAAGACGAAACTAAAGACGGAAAAGAACATAAGAACAATAAGCCAGTCGACGAATAAGGTGTTACGTACGTTGATACGCTCACTGGGAGTTTATTCAAGGGTTTGGGCGCTCACAGACCTCTTCGTAACAAGATCCTGTTGCAAGTCATTTGAATTATAGAAATAACACGAAATTCAAGTGTAGAAATTATGATCTATGGGTTCTGAAAGTTTTTCGATGTTTTTCCCCCTTCCCCTTGCTAAGCTTCAAGGCCTTGCTATTTTTAGATGGATGAGTCCTTTAAAACATGATAAATACATGTGGTGGGCTCATAAGTTGTTGAGCATGTAGTTTATCTTTTTGAGCGGTTCGAACTAATTCTAGGTGGCAACTCTTTTAACACCATATGTGGTTGAAGTCGTTATGAATGGAGTGTTTTCTCTTTTTGTGGCTGATGTAATGAGGTGGCTCTTTTGCGTTATGGTGGTCGAGTTTACGTCCTGGAATGACCAGTATGGAGGTGATATCGTTATGGGCGGTAGCCTTTGTTCTTCGGAAGCGTCGAGCTGATGTATCTCTTAATCTTCCTGTGTAAGCATCGTATACATAGGCCTGAGATATCACCGTGTAGGCTTATCGTCCACATAGTTGCCGGTTTAGTAGGCTTAATTCAAATCGGCATATTTCGGTATTATAAAATGTTATATATCTCAATTACATATTAACTACTATTATTTTATGGAAATTATAAGAAATTAGTATAAATGTGGATAAATGTTAGTCCATTAGGATTTGCCTATACATCAACATCTCCATTTATCACTATGATTATTGTAGTTTAATTCGTAGGCCATCTCTAGTGAATGGTAATAAGATTATCCTTAATTGTAGCATTTTTAGACCTTCTCCAACCGAACGCCAAATCTCATTTTTTGCAGTAAAATCGCTCCAGCCGAACTGCATATCCGATCGCAAAATGCGTTGCCCCTCTTCTCTCTCCTTGTTTGATGCAAATTTGCGTCCAAACGCATAAGATGCGTTCAATCTTTTTTTATTTCAATTTGGTCCTTCATTTTTATTTCTTATTTATAATTGACCTTATCATTTTAAAAATTAATAAATTCAATTTATTTTTAATTTGATTTAGAATGTTAAGATATATGAATTAGATAAATAATTTAAAACATACTATTTTTTTTAATTTCATTAAAATAATGAATAACATATTTTTTTTTTAATTTCATTAAAATAATGAATAACATATTATTTTATATTTGTTCACAATAGTGGTGTAAATATACATATTAATTTTATATTTTTTCAGAATGATGTAAAATACTAAAAAATCTTGATTTCATAAAAATTAAATAGTAAAGTTTTTAAAATAATAAATATTATGTTTATAATTTGATTATATTTCACAATAATAAACAAAATATACATATAATTTATGATATTTTTATTTAATAAGGAAAAAAACACTAACATTAAACAACAACAACATTACCAATACAAATTGACTTGAAAGACTATCTATTTTTACGTGATTGTTGTAATTTTCTATTTTATCTTGTGCGTTGTAATATTCAAATTTTTATTTTGTGCGTTGTAATTTCTAATTTTATCATGTGCGTTATAATTTTTTATTTTATCTTGTGTGTTGTAATTTTTAATTTTTCATCTTGTGAATTGTAATTTTTAATTTTATTTGTGTGGTGAAATTTTAATTTTTACTGAATATTTATTTCTACAATTTTATTATGTATAATTAATTTTAATTACATAAAGTCCAAATTGAATTTAAAATAATAGTGTGGTTTAATTTGTAATATTGTAAAATATGTGGGTAGTATTGAAAATTATAAAAGTTAGTGTAAAAGAGAATATTCTGGGAATATTTTTTTGGGTTTGAAAATGAGTTTTTCGATTAGAGATAAATTACTGCAAAATGAGATAGTTACTGTAAAATGGGTTTGAGTTTGAGTTTTTTGATTGAAGATGGCCTTATTGTTATTAGTGCGTGATTCCAAATGGTGCCCACCTTACCCTGTAATATACCCAATTTTTTCTCTTACGTCTAACGGTCACGTAATTTCATATTTTTTTATTTATATTACTTTCAAGTTATAAATACTATATTTTAAAAAACAACACAAACAAAATGATGTCACTTTAAGTAAACATTTTTGTTGGGAAAAAAAAAATATTATAAGCCATACAGTTAGGCAGCAAATGAAATAATTCTTTTGAAATACAAAATTTATTTTATTTTTTTTTCGTTTTCAAATCACTATAAATTG